TGCAAATGTAATTTCAAAATCTTAATAAAGCACTAGCGTGACTGCTTAAGGGAAAAAAAAAAAAAAAAAAAAAAAAATAATAAACATACATACTGATTATACCAAAATCAATAACTCATCAAATTAGCTAAACAATTATTTAGTTAATTTTTTATTTGATATTTTAAAATTTATGAAAACAGCTAACTTATAATTTGAATTTTTAGATTAATCTAAATTTATCAGTCAATTTAAACTTTTTAATATCTTTATATAAGATGTAAATATATTATTATTAAAATTTAAAATTATAAAATTAATTGTAAGTTATTTATTACAATTTTAATATCTACAATAAAATAAAAGTTAGTATAGTATATAACTATCAATTTATATATAAATATGATACAAGTTATCTTTTTTATTAATATAAATTTTCTGTAAATATAAAATTTGTAATATAGCTAATAATAATAGAAAAAAGATGCATGTATAATATATTAATAAATATAAATAGTTAGATAGATAGTATATAAAAATATATCTTATATTGTATTCAAATTTTATCTAAATATAATATATTCAATTTTATCTGAATATAATATATCTGAATTTTATCTAAATATAATATATCTGAATTTTATTTGAATATAATATATTTAAATTTTATCTAGTTAAAATAAGATATATTATATTTAGTTAGGTAAACTAAAAAATTATATTTGAATTATAATAATATTCAAATTATATTTATATATAATTTTATTTTTTTTTAGAATTAAAATTCTATTTGATAATTTTTCTACTTTATATTTTCTACATAAATAATATTACTCATATCTATCAATTTGTTACCAATACTATGAAACCAGTTCTTACCTTCATTAGATAATATGTTCATTTGACCAACTGCTATACAACCTTATTGACAGTTATTACAATACACTTTAAACACAAATACACTTGATACTATTTCTAAAACTATAACTAAACTTCATCACCAAATTAGACAACTATATTGTATAACTACACACAACACAGTAAACTTATCATCAGTCTTTTTAACTCTATCAGGCCTAGTGCCAAATGAAATTATTTCTATTGTCTCAAATCTATCATTTAAAAAAATAGTTATAACACTTGTTATTAAGTTTCTACTTTATCTTACCTAATATTATTATAAAATCTGGATTCCTTACTGTATTTCAAGATCAACAACTTATCCCTTCACATTCAATTCATCTTTTAATCTTACTTCATATTCATCTCAATTTTTTCTTTCTAATTCAATTTATTCTAAAATTAACTTCTGATATATACAATGAATAAAATACTAAACTAACCTTTTATATATTATTACAAACACCCAAATCTAGGTTAGCCTTGGCCACTCCTGTTGGTTTAGATTGTAAATAAACTAGTTTGAGCTTTTACTCTTTTTATAATATTTTTAAAAATAAATTTATGTTGTATGTAAAAATTTCAAATAAATATTCAATAAAGATAGAGGCATGACCTCACTATTAATATTAAAAATAATAATAATAATAATAATAATAATAATTTTATATTTAAATAGATGTATTATCTCTAGAACTGCCATACTACTCTAAACAGTAATAGATTGCTTATTTAATAAAATCCTAATAAAACTAAAACTTCTAAAGAACATCAAACATAATAAACTGTGTTAAACCAAAATATTTTGTATAGTACAGCATGTGACTTATATAAAAATATACAAAAGCAATAAACAAAATAATAGCTTTTTGTTTGTATTTGAGTACTATTAAAAGAAAACTATACTTTAGGCATTTAACTTACAATAAATCAATTCCGCTTTGAAAATTCACAGTCTAAAATATTGGTTTCTTTTAGTAACGTTTATCTATGTATTAATATTATTTGTACAGTGTATAACAGCATAAATCATTATCTTTTTTTAAAAAATTACATAATCAATTTATCAATTTGATTAGCTAATATAATATAATCAATTGTAATTGGTCAAAATAACATGAGTTTCTTTTTTTATATATTAAACGTCAAATTTAATTTCTTAATAAACTTTAAATTGATATAACTTTTTAAAATTAAATAAAGTAAAAATCTTTTCTAGCTTAGACTTAAAGCCACAAATTGGCTAAAATTTTTTTAAAAATTATTTGTTTTTAAGCTATGACAATTTTTGCAAATTACAGATAAAAGAGGTTGTTTTATAGTGTCTCATACAACTTATTTAAATACGTATTTAAATACCTTTATTGTTATATTGTTAAGATTTTTTTAAAACTTTAATTAAATACTATACAGATGTAAATAATTTGTTAACATTATTAGTATCGGCAATTATTTCCCGATGCTCTATTTTATCTGACCTAAGTCTCAGAACTAATTTCAAGGAAATAATTATTGTATTGTTAACTTATAATAGATTAATAATCAAAAAGCATCATATATGACAGTATGATCATGCACGTATATATGATTTCTTGCTATTCTTGCCTTTTTTACTAATTTTCTCATCCTTTACTAATTTCTAGTTTCACCACCTTTTAGCAGTTTCGCCAATTTCGCCATTTCGATTTTTTTTGTCAAAAGTCTTGACTTTCGCCTGTGGCGAAACCTCCTAACAACCATGTGACTAAACCTTCTATTGGTTGAGTTTTCATAAATAGATATGAGAAGCCTTAAATTACAAGATTAGGTTAGTAGTTCAGGCTCTAAACTATAAACTTGTATTTTATGGTTTCGTATCCATCTCTAAGTTTAGGAAAGTTTTAACCCATTGCAGTATCACGTGACAATCATTTAGCCTGAGTTATAGTCAACAGGAGGAACCGTCAATGTTACCTTCACCCGGCGTGCAACATATAAAAAAATCATTTTACAATACCAAATCATTCCGCTAGTACAAGTTATGATTATAATCCAACATCATTTTTATTATAATAAAATGGTGTTGGATTATAATCATAACATGTACTAGCGGAATGATCTGGTATTGTAAAATGATTTTGTTTAATTCTGGTAAACAGATGACGTCATGGTATGTTATCATGTGATCGTAGATCACTGGGTTAACTGTCTTAATGTGTTCCTAAGTTTATAGCAGTTGTGAGATTCATTTATTTCATAGCAATCTTTCAACAATTCGGTAAACAACGCAGAAATCTAAGATAATTTTTCGTTTTGCATTATACGTTACATGAAATCTGAAATTTGAGTCGGTCGGTCCTGTCGGATAATTAAGATCAAATTGAGCTTGATTGTTATACGCTTCCTTGATTAAATTGTCAACATCTTGGTTTCCACTACCAACAATACAATGTCGGCACATAACTCTTCATAACTGAGTTTTCTCTTTACCTTTAACGTATATGAACTGATGCCGTTTTCCTATCCATTTGATTTGTTAGCGTTAGCCCTTTAGATCCAAATTCAAAATGTTGTTTTAAAGTATTAAATAAATTCGAATAAAAATATCTTCTAGAGAACTTCTATTTAAATGCAGTCCAACTATCATTGTAAAAGGAAACAAAGTGAGAATTCGAGTTGTGCTACATTGTAAATAACCCTGTAGAACAGTACATTACTGTATCACAAATGTTGTGCACTTTCCTATTTAACAATATTGTTCAATTGAAATTTACTTAACGACTTTGTAAATTGAAATTTGAAAATAAAGAATAATCATGTCAACATCAGATAGAATAAAGAAAGCAATAGAAATAAACGATAGTATAGTCTATGCTGGTTCAAAAATAGGTGTTGCCAAAGGAGCATTAAATGCACTTGGAATGGTTGGAGATGCTGTTAAACCCTACGTTCCTTTGATAGCAGTCGTTACATCATTAATTGAAGAAATCGTAACTATTTATGAGAATGCACAATACAATAAAAAAATTTGTAATTCATTACTTGATCGAGCTAAATCAGCTGAAGCTGCTATGAATATATTATCAAGAAGACGAAAAGAGAATGAAGAAAATTTTAGAAAGCAAGCTTATTATGATGATTTCGTAAAATTTAAAAATGCTTTAGAAAAAATAAAGAATTTTGCAGGAGAAGTAACACAACTTAGAGGTTATAGTAAATATCTTAATGCTAATAATGTTAAAAAAAAATTCTTAGCATTAACAGATGAGTATGATACATGTATGAAACATTTACATTTTACTATGGTGATTGCTCAAGAAGAACAGTTAAGATATGATAACGAATGTTTGGAGCATGATCTTGCTGAAATGAATGAGGTATGAATTTAATTAAAGATGAAAAAAATTTTATTTACAATTTTATCCTAACATTATCCTAATTATCCTAATATTGATAATTATTGTCACAAGTTTATGCAACAAATTAAAGGCGGTGTCGATGATAATCAAAAAAAATTGAATATGATTTATCAAGAAATTGTATCAATTCAAACACATATGCAACAATCCGAAAGAAAATCATTGGATTCAAAAATTAATGCACCAAAAATTGATCCAAATCAATTACAAAAACCAGAACTTTCAGAAGAAAATAAACAACGCCCTAGTCATCCTAGAATTATAAAAAGAATATACCTAAGAAATTTAACGGAAGTTGCATGTAAAATTAATGATAAAGCAAGTGATAGATTACTATACTCTCAAAAAAATCAAGGTTATTTGGCAATTCTAGGAAAATTAGGTGAAAGTCCAAATATCCTAAAATTCTATGGAACTTCAACTGTCGATAATCGTGAAGTCATGGTTTTTGAATGGGCAGATATGGGAAATTTGAAAGAAGTTTATGAACGTCATGACATACCATGGATCATGAAAATACCTATAGCTCTTGATATCTGTCGTGGTATTGCATTTTTGAATTCTGCTAGCATCTTTCATCACGATATCAGATGTGAAAATGTTATGGTAAGGTTAATAATTATCATATATTTGTATTATACGTTATACGATTAATTGTACATTATACGTTTTTAAAATATATGCTTATTATATCCATATTGATAGATAACTAATCGTTTAGAGCCAAAGTTGGCAAATTTCAAATTTGCTAGAATGTTAGAGGGTGATTCCTCGAATCTTGAAGATATTTTAAATGTTATTCATTGGTTAGCTCCTGAAAAGATGTTTGAACATAAAAGTGATAATAATAAGAATTACAAACGACCATACACACAGAAATGCGAAATTTTTAGGTATAAAAGGTTTTTTGTATTTTTTTGCACTATTTATATCAATATTATTATGATTTATAATGGAATTTTAAATTTATTGTCATTTATAGCTTTGGCATGCTTCTTTGGGAATTATGCTTTGAAAGGGTTCCATATGCTAACAAAGGCATGGATGATATTATATCTTGGGTTACAACTGGTGGTAGAGAAAAAATTCCTGTTTGTAAAGGAGACGAGAAAGATAAAGAAATTCAAAAAGAATTCGTGACGATTATTAAAATGGGTAAATAATATATATATTTATTTTTAATTGAAATTATAAATTCTGTAATTAATTCTAATATACAATATATATATGTATGTATGCTTGCATTTCTTTTTTTTAAAAAAAACAAAAGCATGGCAGCATGATCAAGAAGCTAGAATTAACATAAGCAAATTATTTGTAATGCTTTCAAAAATGGCCTCAAAACATGTTATACCTGGTGCTCCTACATATCTTTTGCCTAATAAAACTATAGATTATGGTCATCAATCAGATTCATTGTTGTCGGAAGATAAGGAATTTTATTTGTCAGATGAGGATGAACAGACTGAGGAAAAAGAAAATTTTCTATCAATAGAAGAAGGAATTAGACGTCATAATTTAAAAACTCTTGAAGACAGAAAAATTGCTTGGAAAATCTTTGATGTCAATGCAGAAAGAGGTGACTATGCTGCAATGCGTTGGAAAGGTATTTACTTATGGGAAGGCTATCATATTGATAATAGAACTGATGAACAAATTAAGGATGACAGGAATAAGGCCCTCGAACTTTTCAAATTAACTGCCGATTACGGTATTCCAGATTCTCAGATGCGTTACGCATTCGCTTTAAAAGAATTAGGATTGTTAAAAGAAAAAGAGGATCGTGATGAATTTATAAAATATTTGAAAATGTCTGCTGATAATGGCAACGCTGCTGCCATGTTCAATATTGCTGATATTTACGTAAATGGAAAATTGAAATATCAAAAAGATACAAAACCGGAATAAGATATTTAAAACTTGCTGCGTTAAATAAAAATGAACCTGCTATCGCGTTGGCTAAAAAGATGAACTTAAATATTTACGATTATGATTATATTGCTTCGTAAGTATCAAAATATCATTGAAAATTCCTTTATTATCTGTATAATTAATTACTGTAATAACTTTCATTTAAAATAACATAGCCCATGTAGTGATAATTAGGGTTGCGGCATAAACCATTTTTTGAATTATGGTATTATTATATGATTTGGTTGAGGATATGTATTTTTAGTTAATTTGGATTCATAACTCAAATACATGTCTTCTTATTTTCGATCAAGATGCAATAGTGTCAAACTCAAAGACAGATCAAATTTGTTAAATTAATGTTAATAAATACAATATATATGTATATTTAATATCAAAACTAACCAGGATTAAGGTTGAGTATATATTATTGTATTGTAATACAAAAATATAATTATTGATTTGGAGAAACTCTATATCTCTTAAACCGTTTCTCCTGTAAATTTGCTCTGAAAATTTTAAAAATAATATGTTTAAGACAAAATTTTAAATATTAATTTTAGCAGTATAGTTTCTAAATAAAAAATATGGGTTGAGATCTATTTTATTAGTTTTGTTAAGAAAATTTTTTAAAATTATTAAAAAATTTTTGAGTAATAAAAATTTAAAGTTTTTGTTTTGAAATTTTTATTATAAAATTTTCTTTAAATTTTTTAAAATTTTATGTTACTTCTAATGTAAGTCTATTTTTTTACAAGTAAATTGCTTGTAAGTTAATAATAAAAATTGTTATCCTTTATATAAACTTCAATATTGTTTTAATAATTATATTTTTAATATTAATATTTAAAGAATTTACCAAAAAAAATTGTAACTTATTTTTTAATTAAAATTTTTTATAAATTTACCTATTTATATTTTATAAGCAATCTAAATTTTTTGTCTTATAATATAAATATAAATACTATATAAATATAATTCTTATTTTTAAATATTACTATATTAAATTTTATTTAAATATTTTAAATATTATTAATAAAAATAGATCAGAACTATTTTTATAATAAAATTCAAGACAAATTTGTTTTGAATTTTAAACTGTTTAAGGAATAATATAGGCAGTAATAAGTTTTATTTAATGATTTTAAAGAAATTTGCAATGCTAAATATTTAATATAATAGACATATATTATAAGATAAATAAATCATATAAATGTTAACTTTTTTTTTTTAACCTTAAGCAGTTACACTAGTACTTTATTAAGATTTTTGAAACTATATACATTTATAATTATATAAAATTTCTCAATATCTAAGTCTAGCATTACTCAGTCATCCTATTGGTACCTAAGTGCAACCTGTCACATTATCTTAGTTAAAAATAGACTGCTCATTTAACTACTTAAAACTATACCAGAAGAGTCTTTTCTCTTTTGTAACAAGCATATCAATTGTTTTCCAAGTTTTCTTTTTTATTCAGTTTATTTTTTCTATCTTCTTTTTCTTTTCTTCTTCCTTTGCCCATTCATCTTTCTTTGTTCTTTTTTCTGACTTTCTTTTAATTCAAGTGTTTTTTTTTATTTTACTTGTTATATTTATTTTTTTTTCTTATTCTTACACTTTTCTATATCAAACTCTCTATACTTGGTTATAAAATGTATTTCATATTGTTCTTTTTTATTTCTATATATTTCTGTGTTGTCTGTTTGTTTGGAATCTGACTGATCCTTTTTTTCACTTTGTTCATAGTTAGCCCTTTTATCAATACTCTTTTATTAATAACTTCTTCTGCTTTTGTTTTTTCAAATATTACTTCATATAGCACTCAAGATGAAAGCCTGATTTTTTCATTTTTTTTAAGACTATTTTATGCTATTGCTGTTGCTATCTTTTAGATTTTCTTTTATAGACTCTTTTGTCTACTGCAGCTTACTAAATGAATTTGAGTCTTCTTTTCATCTGTTTGATATATTTGGCAATCTGTTGTTGTATATATTTCTGGTCTTCTTCTGTTTAATTCTTTTAATATTAGTAGATCATCTATTATGCATTTGATCACTGTTGCTCTTCTTGTACTAAGTTTTCTTGTTATGTAATATATGTCTTTTGTTTTATTTATCTCTTTTCAAAAACTTGACCAATTATATTAAGTGTTTTCTGTTTTTGGTTCTAGTACTCAAATCAGATTTGTTTCTCTTCAACTGGCTTCAAGTCTGGCATTTACAACTATTTTGCAAAGAAGTCTTGTTAGTATATTAATTTTTTTATTTTTCCATTCTAGATGGTACTCTATTCTGTTGCACTTAATTTTTTTTATAAATATTGTCATTCTATCTGTTGCTCTTTTCTTTGTAAGTATATCTGTTTTGTCATTTCATTTATTATTGCTATAACTCTTAACTTTAATTAGTTTAATTCTGTTACTCTTGCTTTTAACTAAGTTCATAATATTCATTATCTACATTGCATTTTTCTCTTTTAGAACTTTGTTATTTTCTAATCTTTGAATTAGTTTATTAATGTTTCTTAGCACTACAAAACTATCTGTATATACTTTTATATTCTTTTTTTCTGGAACAGTTAAATTGCTAACTTTATTGCTGCAAATTTTGCTATTGTTGCTAAAGGCTAGTCTTTGAGTTCTAATGCTGTTTCTTCCTCTGGCCAGTTTTCTTCATTACTAATCTATGTCCATGCCCTATTTTTTCTATACTATTTTCTCTTTTTTTTTATATAATGCTCTATCTGTATAAAATGTATACTTGTCTTTGTTTTTTATCTTGTTTCTTGTTAGAATTTTTATTAAGTAAGCTGTGATTTTACTATCTAATTTTTGCTTTTTGATTAATTCTATCTCAAGTTCTTTTATTTGTTTCAGCTCAATTAGTCTTCTTTTCTCTCTTTTCTATTTCTTCATTGTTCTGTTTTCTAGTATCTGTCCTAATATTACATTAATCTTGTTACTACCTTTTTCTACTAGTGTTTCTGGAACTACTTTTATATTATTGTTTTATCTTATCTATCTTTTACAATTATCTGTTACTTGTTCTATTCTATTTTTACTCTCTTTGCATTTGCTTATCTTAGTGTATGTCTTTTCTTCTACCTTCTGCAAAAGCAAATGTTCAGCTAAAATTTTTTTCTTTCTTGATATTTTGCTAAGTGTTAATTGTGTTTCAGTCCATATATGATTCATTCTTTCTTTCTTCTGTTTTCAGATATCTTTGTCTAATTAATCATTAATGCCTAAGTATTGTAGTTTTAACCTTGTATTAGTTATATATTTCTTTGCTTGTTTGTGTTATTAACATCTTTTCTTCTATTTTATTGAACTATTTGTCTTTTTTTTCTTTTACATGACAGTTCTTAAAGACTTTTGAGCTATTTTTATATAATTAGACTCTTTTTTTTTATATTTATAAGTTGGTTCAAGTATAATAAGCCTTATCTGTTTATTGTACTACTACTTGCTATCCAAGATTTGGTTTTAACTAAATCTTTTATTCTTGTCCTATAATCATATACTTTCTACAGGTAGTTTTCTGCTTTAATATTTATTTCTATTTCTTTTGCCTTGACTATTGTCTGACAAGCTAAGTTGTGCTTCCAATACTTTGTTTTTTCTAGCCTTCTTTTAGACTTTCAAATATCTTTTATTAGGCCTGCTTTCTGGCATCCTTGTACTATTCTAAGCTTTGTTAAATCATTTAAGAATCTTTTCTATTAAGTTTTGTAAATAAACTACTTATTTGCTTTGTTACTATTTCTTAACTTAATGATTTACAGTTTTCTAAATCTTTGTGCTTGATTGTGCAGTTATTTGTAGTTTTTATTATGTTGCACTTATGTTTGACCAAACATATTATCAGTTAGTGGATCCTGTTAATCATCTTTTCTGACATTTTTGTTAACTACAAAAGGTATCTTAATTTTGGAATTATTATCATATTGTTTATATATATAATTTGGCTTATTGTTATTTTTTTATATCTGAGATCTTTAACTGTTTGACTAACTATTCTTTTTGCTTTTTTGCAGATTAGTGATTCTCTTATTCTGCCATTTAGCCAAATTTTCAATGATCTTACAGTTTTGTTTTTTGGTTATTTTGTTATTCTACTCTGTTCAAATATAATTTCATTATCTTTTTTTTTCTATCTAAAATTTATTACTATGAGCTTTGATTTTGCTTTATTTATTTCAATATCATTTGCTTTAAAGAACTTCTCTACAATTTCAAAAATTTTTAGCAATTGGTTTTTGCTTTTTGTGATCCATATAGTATCATCTGCATAAGCAATTGCTGCTTGTTTGTGTTTTGAAATACAATTAATATTTGTATTGCTTAATGTCTCTTGTTCTACTGTATAGTTTAATAATTCATCTTTTTGAATTCTTTCTAACAGCAAATCATAGAAGAACTGCCAAATTAGTAAAGAGATTACCTCTTCTTGGTCTATATCATCTTCTGCTATTATTTTTTCTATTAGACTATAAGTTGTAATTACTTTAAATTATTGTTTCCAAAAGAGATTGATAATATATTTTATTGTTTTTAACTCTTTTAAGAGCCTACTTTAAACTTTTCAGTAGAACTGAGTTGAATGCCTTCTTTATATCTTGTAAAAGTATCTATGCTTTTTTATTTTTCTTTTATGCTTCTTTTATTATCATATTTAGTATATGTATTGGTTGCTCTGTTAAGTTGCTAGGCAAATCTGCATAGTTTGACTCTTTGAGTATTTGTCTTTTATGAATATTTTGGTCAACCTTCTTGTTATCATCTTCATAACTAACTTCTTAAAGGTTTCAATTAGTGCTATTGGTCTAATATTGTTTAGATTATATCTTCAGTCTACATCTTTTAGAATCAGATAAACTTATGCTATTTTCCACCTTTTTGGCATTTTTTCTGTTTCTAGAACCAAGTTTGCAAAAGCTCTAAAAATTTTTTGTAATTTTTTTTCTGCTTATTTTATTAAAGTATAGCTTATGTC